ACTTTGATCCTGTTCAATTTTCACTCTCATACTTTTGATCCTGTTCAATTTTTTTCATACTTTGATCCTGTTCAATTTTTTGATCCTGTTCAATTTTCACTCTCATACTTTGATCCTGTTCAATTTTCACTCTCATACTTTGATCCTGTTCAATTTTCACTCTCACTTTGACTATTTGATCCTGTTCAATTTTCACTCCCATACTTTGATCCTGTTCAATTTTCACTCTCATACTTTGATCCTGTTCAATTTTCACTCTCATACTTTGATCCTGTTCAATTTTCACTCTCCTTTGATCCTGTTCAATTTTCTCTCATACTTTGATCCTGTTCAATTTTCATCCTCATACTTTGATCCTGTTCAATTTTCACTCTCATACTTTGATCCTGTTCAATTTTCACTCTCATATTTTGATCCTGTTCAATTTTTTCATACTTTGATCCTGTTCAATTTTCCTCTCCTTTGATCCTGTTCAATTTTCACTTTCCTTTGATCCTGTTCAATTTTCACTTTCCTTTGATCTGTTCATACTCTCTTTGATCCTGTTCAATTTTTCCTCTCATATTTTGATCCTGTTCAATTTTCACTCTGATATTTTAAACCAATACAATTTTACCTCTCACACATTGATCCCCTTCAATTTTCATCTTCACACTTTGCTCCCCTTCAATTTCCTCTCTCGCTCTTTGCTCCCCTTCAATTTCCTCTCTCGCTCTTTGTTCCCCTTCAATTTCCTCTCTCGCTCTTTGCTCCCCTTCAATTTCCTCTCTCGCTCTTTGCTCCCCTTCAATTTCCTCTCTCGCTCTTTGCTCCCCTTCAATTTTCTCTCTCGCTCTTTGCTCCCCTTCAATTTTCTCTCTCGCTCTTTGCTCCCCTTCAATTTTCTCTCTCGCTCTTTGCTCCCTTCAATTTTCTCTCTCGCTCTTTTCCCCTTCAATTTTCTCTCGCTTCCCCCTTCAATTTTCTCTCTCGCTCTTTGCTCCCCTTCAATTTTCTCTCTCGCTCTTTGCTCCCCTTCAATTGCCTCTCTCGCCCCTTTGCTCCCCTTTACTTTTCCCTCTTGCACTTTGCTCCCGTTTAATTTTCCCTCTTACACTTTGATCCCGTTTAATTTTCCCTCTTACACTTTGATCCCGTTTAATTTTCCCTCTTACACTTTGCTCCCGTTGAATTTTCCCTCTGAGACTTTGATCCCGTTGAATTTTCCCTCTGAGACTTTGATCCCGTTGAATTTTCTCTCTGAGAATTCGATCCCGTTGAATTTTCTCTCTGACACTTTGATCCCGTTGAATTTTCTCTCTGACACTTTTATCACGTTCCAGTTTTTCCCTCATACATTGACCCATTCCCATTTCTCTCTCTCATACATTGACCCATTCCCATTTCTCTCTCTCATACATTGACCCATTCTCATTTCTCTCTCTCTCTCTCATACATTGACCCATTCCCATTTCTCTCTCTCTCTCATACATTGACCCATTCTCATTTCTCTCTCTCTCTCTCATACATTGACCCATTCCCATTTCTCTCTCTCTCTCATACATTGACCCATTCCCATTTCTCTCTCTCTCTCTCTACATTGACCCATTCCCATTTTCTCTCTCTCTCTCTCCATTGACCCATTCCCATTTCTCTCTCTCTCTCTCATACATTGACCCATTCCCATTTCTCTCTCTCTCTCTCTATATACATTGACCCATTCATTTTTCTCTCTCTCTCTCTCTCTCTGACCCATTCCCATTTCTCTCTCTCTCATACATTACCCATTCCCATTTTCTCTCTCTCTCTCTCATACATTGACCCATTCCATTTTCTCTCTCTCTCTCTCATACATTGACCCATTATATTTTCTCTCTCTCTCTCTCTCTATCACATTGACCCATTCCCATTTCTCTCTCTCTCTCTCATACATTGACCCATTCCCATTTCTCTCTCTCTCTCTCATACATTGACCCATTCCCATTTCTCTCTCTCTCTCTCATACATTGACCCATTCCCATTTCTCTCTCTCTCTCATACATTGACCCATTTATTTTTCTCTCTCTCTCTCATACATTGACCCATTCCATTCTCTCTCTCTCTCTCATACATTGACCCATTCCCATTTCTCTCTCTCTCTCTCTCATACATTGACCCATTCCCATTTCTCTCTCTCTCTCTCTCATACATTGACCCATTCCCATTTATCTCTCTCTCTCTCTATACATTGACCCATTCCCATTTTCTCTCTCTCTCTCTCATACATTGACCCATTCCCATTTATCTCTCTCTCTCATACATTGACCCATTCCCATTTATCTCTCTCTCTCTCACACACATATTGATCCCATTCCCAATTTTCTTTCTCACATATTGATCCCATTCCCAATTTTCTTTCTCACATATTGATCCCATTCCCAATTTTCTTTCTCACATATTGATCCCAGTTCAGTTTTTCTCGCACACATTTTCTATTTAACTTTCAGGCTCTGTGATCCCGTTCGCGGCTCACTCTCTTTCAATGCGATCCCGTTCACGTCTCACTCTCTTTCAATGCGATCCTGTTTCGTCTCACTCTATTTCAATGCGATCCTGTTCGTCTCACTCTATTTCAATGCGATCCCGTTCACGTCTCACTCTATTTCAATGCGATCCCGTTCACGTCTCACTCTATTTCAATGCGATCCCGTTCACGTCTCACTCTATTTCAATGCGATCCCGTTCACGTCTCACTCTATTTCAATGCGATCCCGTTCACGTCTCACTACCTCTCTGTGAAGGCACTCATACTCTTCACATTTCTCTCTCATACACTTTCCGTTTCTCTCTCATACACTTTCCATTTCTCTGTCATACACTTTCCATTTCTCTCTCTCTCTCTCTCTCTCATATATTCCCTTGACATTTTTCTCTGTAGCTCTCGCTCTCTTTGGGAATACCAGATTCTGTAATCTTGGATGTGCTGGAAAGGATGATGGCTCTGAATTAGAAATTGGAGAGCTCATTTCCGATTCCAATTGAATTTTTGTAAATACTACTGGGAATTGTATAAGATTCGCCCAACTATGGGTTAATTAGTAAAATTTGTATCACTATCCATTGCTATATCCAAAAATTAAAATAAAAGTGCGTACAAAATATTCACGTTTCTCACTAAATCAGTGGTTGATATGCTACCAAAGAAGAACAATCAACTTACGACTTCGTACACATTTCCACCTGTCTTTATGATTCAGTTCACATTTCTTGTTCCACTTCTTGATTCCGTTCAGGTTTCTCTCTTTCATTCTTTGATTCCATTGACATTTCACACTTTCGCTTCACTTTTTCTCTCTCTCTTTTTTTCTCTCACTCTTTTTTTCTCACTCACTCTTTTTTTCACTCACTCTTTTTTTCACTCACTCTTTTTTTCACTCACTCTCTTTTTCTGTCTCTCTCTTTTTCTGTCTCTCTCTTTTTCTGTCTCTCTCTTTTTCTGTCTCTCTCTTTTTCTGTCTCTCTCTTTTTCTGTCTCTCTCTTTTTCAAACACTTTTTCTCTCTCTCTTCATACTCTCTCTCTCTTCATACTCTCTCTCTCTCTCTCCAGTCTTTTCATACTATCTCTCTCTCTCTCCAGTCTTTTCATACTATCTCTCTCTCTCTCCAGTCTTTTCATACTATCTCTCTCTCTCCAGTCTTTTCATACTATCTCTCTCTCTCCAGTCTTTTCATACTATCTCTCTCTCTCCAGTCTTTTCATACTATCTCTCTCTCTCCAGTCTTTTCCATACTATCTCTCTCTCTCTCTCTCCAGTCTTTTTCATACTTTTCTCTCTCTCTCTCTCTCCAGTCTTTCATACTATCTCTCTCTCTCTCTCTCCAGTCTTTTCATACTCTCTCTCTCTCTCTCTCTCCAGTCTTTTCATACTATCTATCTCTCTCTCTCTCTCCAGTCTTTTCATACATCTCTCTCTCTCTCTCTCCAGTCTTTTCATATCTCTCTCTCTCTCTCTCCAGTCTTTTCATACTACTATCTCTCTCTCTCTCTCTCCAGTCTTTTCATACCATCTCTCTCTCTCTCAGTCTTTTCTTTTCATCTCTCTCTCTCTCTCTCTCTCCAGTCTTTTCATACTATCTCTCTCTCTCTCTCTCCAGTCTTTTCATACCATCTCTCTCTCTCTCTCCAGTCTTTTCATACTTTCTATCTCTCTCTCTCTCTCCAGTCTTTTCATACTATCTCTCTCTCTCTCTCTCTCCAGTCTTTTCATACTATCTCTCTCTCTCTCTCTCTCCAGTCTTTTCATACTATCTCTCTCTCTCTCTCCAGTCTTTTCATCCATCTCTCTCTCTCTCTCTCCAGTCTTTTCATACTATCTCTCTCTCTCTCTCCAGTCTTTTTTCATCTCTCTCTCTCTCTCTCTCTCCAGTCTTTTCATACTATCTCTCTCTCTCTCTCTCTCCAGTCTTTTCATACTATCTCTCTCTCTCTCTCCAGTCTTTTCATACATATCTCTCTCTCTCTCTCCAGTCTTTTCATACTATCTCTCTCTCTCTCTCACCAGTCTTTTTCATATATCTCTCTCTCTCTCTCTCCAGTCTTTTCATACTATCTCTCTCTCTCTCTCTCCAGTCTTTTCATACTATCTCTCTCTCTCTCTCTCCAGTCTTTTCATACTATCTCTCTCTCTCTCTCTCCAGTCTTTTCATACTATCTCTCTCTCTCTCTCTCCAGTCTTTTCATACTATCTCTCTCTCTCTCTCTCTCAGTCTTTTCATACTATCTCTCTCTCTCTCTCCAGTCTTTTCATACTATCTCTCTCTCTCCTCTCAGTCTTTTCATACTCTCTCTCTCTCTCTCTCTCCAGTCTTTTCATACTATCTCTCTCTCTCTCTCTCCAGTCTTCTCTGTTCCCGTTCTGTTAAAACCTCTCTTGAATTCCGTAAATACACAAAGATACAATGCAGAGTAGGACAGCGATATTTCTGCTCCCAAAACTGAGTCTTCCCTTACAGTGGTGTAATGCTTAGGACATCTTCCACTGATCATGTGTGCAAAGGCGAAAATTTCGAAAAAGTAGAAAGCAAAAGAAGACATCGAATATGGAGATTGTTGAAATTTCTAGAACATACAACGATAGAAGAGCGCTTAGATAATTTGATACTCAATGGATCTACTGAAGACAAAAGGTGAAGGAAAGCAGCACAAAACAAAAATGTGTAATTAGTTGGCAGAATAGCGATTAGGAGAGATAGCAAAAAGAAATTTTACAAAGAACTACAAAATACGGTACATGGTGGAGAGCCATTATCGACTACGTTCTGAAGGTACACTGTATACAGAAGCATTCCATTTAACTGGACCTCGTAAAAGATGTGAACAATCTGTGTAATATTGTATTTAAGTGGGTAGCCATGACATTTGATGGCCTGGAAACTAACCTATCACATGAATCGACAGAAGAGAATCATGGGAAGAGATGATAGAATTTCGTGTCGAAATCTGTTAAACGAGCTGCAGATATTTGAAATTAAATTTTACTTAAGATTTGACAACGATAATCAACGCACATATAAATATTGCACAAATAGTATACAGGCAAAGAACATACATGTCTTGTATACTTTATGTATCTTTCTCTCAAGAATTCGATAGAGAGGTTCTGTAGATCTTGGTGGAAGCTTTTTCAAAGTGAGATATATAAGATTTAATATATGAACATTTCAATATGTATAATTATTATATTACATTTTCCAATATATAAAGATTCGCAATGCAGAAATTGTAAAAGTTTAATGAATTCTTCTGCAATTGTAACCAATAATTTCCATCGATCACACAAAATTAATCTTAAAGCTTTAACTTTAGTCAAACTAGTACTCTCTCCCCCCCCTCTCTCTCTCTCTCACACACACACACACACACATATATATATATATATATATATATATATATATATATACTGACATCTCATTACATATATCTTTACCAAAATTACACAAAAATGTCTTGAAATAGTAAAGACTAAATTTATTTAATAAAATAACCTTTGCCTTCACCCATGGCTTTCAAACGACTTCGGAATCTACTGCAATTCTTCTGGGCGGTCTACTTGTTTAAGTTGATGAATGGTGCCATAATCTTTGCCTTCAGTTCATCTTTGGTGTTAAAATGAGTTTTGTTGGTCTTTCGCTAAACTGCATCCCACACAGAATAACCAAGGAATTTATTCTCCGGGGAATTACGTAGCCAGATTTAAAGGGAGATGTAGTCGCAGAAATTGCTTGACAGCCGAGACTGGGTTTTCCTACTTGTGTGGTATGGTGCAGAGACGTGTTTCCAGACATAGGGTCTTTCAGCAGTCAACCTCCTGACCCAGGGAAGCACTAAATTCTCAAGGCACAAGATGCGGGCCTCCGTGTTGAGTCTGAAGGCCTGTTCGAAGATGACATAAATCACAGCACCTTCGTAATTCCGAATCCTTTGCACAGTCCTCAGATTGACACCAAAACACTATGAAATGTTCGTATTACAGCTTCCGGTGCGAGTGCCAACCTGTAAAGTAAGTCGTTTCCAATTTTATGAGGGATAGTTCTCACAAACTGCGTAGAAATCAAAAACAACGTGCATGCGTGATATAAACATATGATAGGTCGACAATTTTCTCATCGCACCTTTTACGTATCTTTTTATATATATATATATATATATATATATATATATATATACACTTGCCGTGACCTTTCGTTAAGAATCTGTGTCAGTGGTCTACATGAGAAATGAAGCAAATATGAGAATTACCAAACCAAATGCAGCGAACAATAAAGACGAAAAGAAAATTTGAATTGTCCCATTTCCATATTTATATTCTAGCTATATTGTACAATGCTCTCTTGTGTATGTATGTATATATATATATTGTTTTCCTATAAAAGAATAATTCAGGAGCAATATGAGCATGCTAGCATAAACTTTCTCGTTCTTTTTAATGCTTATATTTCACAGCATCGATTCTGCACATTTTTTCTAAACACCATCTGTGGATTTAGAAATACATTCTCAAAGTCTCTCTCTGCCTCTACATTCGTATGGATTTGAGAAAGGGTTACTCTGCAGGTGTTTACTCTCATTGTTCACCTGTTTGGTAAAAGAGTCCTATATATTGTATATATTCATCTACGCTAATGCGTGACTATGTAAATAAAAACCGATTAGTTTTCTCTGTGATATTAACATTCATGACCAGAAAAGATATACACACAATTCTATATACGTATTCGCTGATTGTATGTGCATGAGTGCCGATATAAACACACACACACACACACACACGTATATATATATATATATATATATATATATATATATATATGAGAGAGACTCAATTTAATTTTGTGTATTTGAATACATTTCTTGGAGCGTTGACGATTCCACTTGATGTGATGAATCACTGAACAAAATTACCACACACATTACACGAATGCCAACATTGGTATTGTATGTTTACGTATATAAATATACGGAAATCTCACACTATATGAACATGTAAACTAATACCTTAAACATTTACTGATATTTTTACTAATATATGAACTTTTCTAAGATTGGTGTTTAAAAAGGTGTAATGTCAGATAGGAAGATATGATGCTTCTATCATTATAAGCAGATATGTAGACATAAACAACAAAATTAAAAATAGATAATGATTTATATATAGAAGATAGTCATATCTAGAATGAAAATAGAAGTATTGGATATGTTACTGTGATAGCAGATATAGTATTGAATTAGTAGAGTGTCTTATATACAGATAACTATTTGCAATATGACACGAATTTAGAGGAATGAAGTTAAGGAAACGTTATATATATATATATATATATATATATATATATATACTGGTGCGATGGACAATTTGAGGCCTAAATTACACAAAAATGAAAATAACACTGGCATCTTATTTTGACAGATATGCTTATTAAAATTACACAAAATATCTAGAATTAGTAAAGAGGAAACTTATTCAATAAAATAACCATCGGATTCAGCCACGGACTTCAGAAGACTTCGGAATCTCCAGTAACTATTCTGAACTGTCTCCTTGTACAAATTGGTGAATGCTGCCATAATCCTTGCCTTCAGTTCATTTTTGGTGTTACAATGAGTTTAGTTGTTCCCTCGCTCAAGTGCGCCATGAAAATAATAATCAAGACATTTATTGTCAGGGGAGCCTGTTGGCCAAATGTAAGGGATAATGTCGTCACAGATAGCCATGAATTTGCACCATGCCACACAAGCAGGATACAGAGACGTGTTGCCAGACAGGATCTTCCAGCATCCACACTCTTGACCCAGGGCAACATTACCTCCTCAAGGCCCTTGATGTAGGCCTTTATGTTGAATCAGAAGGTCCCACCAACAAATTCATAAGTTCTTTTCTTATCATAATGATGAGAGTAAATTTTTCGAGCTTTCATATCTTCCCCATTGGAGCAACCAAACCTTTTCCCAATCCTCTACACTATCCACAGACTGAACCCAGTCACTCTGAAATGTTCGTATTGGAGGTTACACCGTGAATTCTAAGCAGTGCAGCATACCGTTTCCTAATTTCTGGCGGAGTGAATTGCGTCATGGTGCTCTTTTTCTAATAGACGGTACCCAACTGACCCTACTCTACTTTGCAGTTGACTAAATCAAAAACAGCGCATATAAGAAAAAAATCAATAGCGGCAATCTACTCATCGTATCCTGTATATACGTAAGTGTACATTACGCTATATATATATATATATATATATATATATATATATATATATATATATATAGTGAGGTACGTTTAAGTATCACTATTTTGCAGAAAGTTCATTCCACCCTCGGTGCACCAGTCTTGTAGATTGTGACAAACGCAACGTTATGCATAACCCTTTATTATTAAGTTTTATTAGTTTTCTCTAGACGAGTCCCAGCTGATTATAACCAAGCGTGCATCTAGCTAAATCTTAATTTTGTCTCGCCTTACCTGGATGCAGTGTTTTTCAGTTCCTTGTCGTTTGAGAGGGGTGTCCATTTACGTGGTCTTCTGTGGGACATGTGCATTCAGTACATTGTATAACATGTCTCTCTACAACTTCCTAAGCATTTTAGATTTTAAAGTTTTTTATTTTTACCACAATTCTTAATCCCTGTTTTGCCATACATTTAAACAAACTTGTACGGTCGATTACTTTCAGTCTCTTTATTGTTCTTGTTTCAATATATCTTACCACTATGAAATTCTTCAGTCCCTCATTCCACTTAATATATCCTAGTAATTTCAACTATCACTTTCTGATTCTAAGAAAGAACTCGTATTTATGTACATATTCCGTAAAACTTAAATAATTTACGTGTTCAATCATTGTGTTCTCAGCATCCTTCTGTAGAATTACTTTTAAATGTCGCTTTATTTACTGGTTTTCTATATATAGATTTATACCGTGCTTATAAGCATTAATGGGTATGTCCCATGTTGGACACTATTGTAAGTGTGGGTGGGGTAAAATGCTGTTTATGTAGTCCATCACTAGCAGTGGTTTACCTACTTTACGCAGCTGGCGAGTATTGTATTTGGTTGGTGTTATAAAGATTACCATTTTATTTCCAACATCCATTTTGTTTTTTCTCATTCAGTAACCCTTTCTAGGTCACAAAACACACACACACACACACACACACATATATATATATATATATATATATATATATATATATATATATGCATTCGTGTTTGTGCCTGGATAGAGAAAGAGAATGAATGACAATAATGTAACTGTATAGTTTTTTTTGTTTCTATTTATTTACTTGGTATTGTCTGAGAAAAATAAGTTCTATGCAGATGAATATATTCTTAAATATATAGACTTTATAAGTCGATCCTATATGTACAGGCAATATTCATATGCAGTTAGTGGTATAAACCAGAATATTGTATTTAGCGACTGAATTCTTTTACTACATAACATTATTCCATCTATCGTGTACATTCAGGACGTTGCAATCGTAGCATGCCATAATTTCCTATTTTTGTATCGCTTAATACATTTTATATTTCTTTTATATGTCCTACACTTTAACTCTGTCATTCATTTACTCAAGTTCGTTATTACTCCAAGTTATCTTTCCTCATTTTAATTCATTTCCTGATGTATAACTCTACACTTTGATTCTATATTCCCTAAAACTTCTACTTGGTTCGCAAGTTCGGTTCATAGTATTCTCAGTTTCCTTTGTCGAACAAGGTTTCTGTTGCTTCATGTATCTTCTTCATCTGTGAGGAAACTGTCCAGCGTTCACTGCGATATAGGAGGACTGATATTACGTAACATTTCAGTGTAATTTCCTTTGTTCCCAACGAAAATATTCTTTCTTGATATTTGCTTAGATTCTGAAAGACATCTTTTTCTATGTTAATACGTCTTTGGTTTTCAGTCCCACTTTCCGCCTTCTGATGAGATTTCCCAGATATTTAAACGGTTGTACATGTTTGATTTTGTAGAAGTGTAAGAAAATAAACTTCCATTTTAGAAACCCACTGCCTTAGTTCGGACAGGACGTTGTTGGCTTTCTATCAATATCAAAGGTGGAATACTTAGCCTTTATACTAGATTTGATGGAAATTTAGCCAGTATAGCTGAATTAAAACACTTTTTCTTAGATATATATTTTAATTTATGCACTTTTCTCCGTAGAATGTGTTCGATTGGGATCTCTGAATGTGTGCAATCATTGCACTTAACCGCTGTGTTCGTCTCTATTCTAGTGCTGAACACTGAATTAGAAAATTTTGTATTGTGTTCTTGTGTGGGTGTTAGAAATGAGGTGGCCATTGAAAAAAAAAAAGAGAGAAAAGAAGCTGGTATCGTTTCAAATCTTATATGCGATAATTTATTGTACAAAAATTGATATTGGAAGCAAATATTAACTTTGAGTAATATTTATTATTCGTATTTCATTATTAATTAAAATTATCAATATATTTCCATTCCGTCAATAAACCAATCATTCTTTACTTTTAAAACAAAACCATTTTTATAGATTATAAAAACAAAGATTCCTATTTTTATGTAGACATTTGTGAAACGTCTTAATGTTCGGGAACATAGATATCATCTCGTATAAGTGGGAATACAATACACAGACACACACACACATAAATATAGAAAGGGATAATTTAGACATAATACATAGGACAGACACGCATACTGAATTTTACATATAGATAAACATAACTATGAGAAAGCCAGCCCGACAGAGACATATATGCTGACGGGCATCTATCTATCTATATATATATATATATATATATATATATATATATATATATATATAGTCACAGATTGATAATCTGTTAGACAGTTAAGGCGTATATGATATCAGTATTTTAATGTGTTGCTATCGGGATATGTTGGCACGTGCATCGTCTAGCGTTGTTCAGTGACCTTTTTTGTTAAAATTAATCCGACTAATGTTTATTGTGACGTCGCATAGAAAGGCTGTGAAATAATTCTTAGTGCACATAAGCGCGCTTTTTTACACGCATGTATTTATCGAAAGGATAATGTTTTGAAGCAGATTAAATTCAGTTTTTTTCTTAAGAAATTTGCTTTTAAGACATTTAATATGAATCTGAAGAACAAAGATACGTTAGATATGTTTTCATTATAGATATATGAACACTGACGCAGGTATGCGCGGTCATACACATGTAAGAAATGAACATAATAGCGTACGTGATGAAAATAATTCTCAATCGGTATTTTAATTTGAAAATTCTAACGCGTGTTAAAGAAACAAAGATAAGCTACAATAAAAGGCATAGAATGATGCCACTTACTGACATTGAAAAGACAAAAAAAATTCTACCTAGCCCTATCTACACGTTTGATTAAATATTATTAAAGAATATATATATATATATATATATAATGTGTGTGTATATATATATATATATATATATATATATAATGTGTGTGTATATATATATATATATATATATATATATATATATATATATATATATATATATATATATATAATATATATATATATATATATATATATATATATATATATAATGTGTATATATATATATATATATATATATATATATATATATATATATATATAATGTGTATATAATGTATATATATATATATATATATAATGTATGTATATATATGTATATATAAAACGTGAGGGAGGAAAAGTAAATGCCTATATTATAACTAACAATATATACAAATAACTTTACGTAGGTGTAGGCTCACAGGTATAGACATAGTGATCATTCATTTGATTTTTTAAAAAAAGATATATCTTAAATTTGACATGTCTAATGCAAGATTAAATACTGTCTGAAAGAGAAACCATTTTTTACTGTAATCCCTTCAGTCAGTTCATGTCAAGATAAACATTTTTTCTCATAATTTCATTTCATGGATCAGGTTAAGTTCGTTTACGCATCTATCTATCTATCTATATATATATACCTACATACTCACAATGTCCCTATGATCTAGCTGTTTTTATGTGACTACGCACGCATCCATATATATATATATATATATATATATATGATTTGCATTGTAGCATTCCTAAAAAAAAGTGATTACATTTTACATATATTTATTGAAATTATTACCCATTTCAAAAAAAAATTTTTTCCATAGGCTTCATACTCAAACTCTTTTACCAAGTGAGCATATATTTTCTCTAAGAACAAAATGGTATTAACAAAGAATCTATTGCATCATTTGGTCCGATTGTAGGATAAACATCGGATATAGAAATTAATATTTTGAGATTCTGTGTCCTGTTTATGGAAAATATTCAAGATAATATATGTACTCTCATTTCAAGCCTGTCAACTTTCACATTTTTTAATCTATTCATGTGTGACAATTACATTAGAATGCCACCACACTAGGTTTTACCAGACACTTATTTACATACAAAATATTTTCTTTCCCCTTCATCGGATACTGTTCATCACATCGTCTAAATCTGGCATCAAAGTTAATCCTTTAAAATCAGCTATCTAAACGGACATGTTTTGACGTGTGAGACAGTAAACCATATAATCAACGACGGAGACAAACATATTCCTATAAAAATGAGTCTCACAAACCCAACATCATAGCTCCTTATCAATACTAAGCATCGTATTTTGAGCGGGAGTATATATATATATAGCAATATAAATAAACAGGGTAGAAAGAAGAATCTGTATCTGATAATCCTTTGTGGATATCACAATAACAAGACAGTGCCGATTTCTAGAGAAAAACAGTTTATATCTAATTTTAAGAAATAATTCTGAACTTTCTTACGAGTAATTATGCTACAGTTTAAAATTAAAATGAATTGGTAAAATACTCGGACAGGCGATCAAAAAAAATAAAGCCAAAAAAAAAAAACATTAATTAGGTAAACAAGAAAAAAAAAACGACAAAAATTAGCAAATAAAGCGAAATGAGAAAAAACTAACAGTGCTGAAGAGGATTGTTGTGCGAACATGTGTATCAACACTGCATACTGGCTGTCATTTTCACACTTCAAGCGTTCTTCGAATGATGGTCATTCACAATATAGAGTTGTTTCCATATCCACACGCGTTTTACAAAGAAAAGCTATATCTCCAATACTGAACATTATTCCCCATAAAATTCACACACACACACACTCTCTCACGTTATCAACTTTGATTTTTTTTTAACCTATTCACATACCTCTACATAAATATGCATTTATCATTCTATCTGACTATGAAAATTTTATATTGGTTAATCCATTCAAATATATATATATATATATATATATATACACAAACACACATTTGTTCAAGTTATGTGGTAGCGCAGATAAGAGAACTTGCCTTCATATAATCGCATTCGAATCTAGACATGTGCTTATTAATTCTACAGTACTTTTGAAGATGCAGCGTAATATACAATCTTTCTATCTCCAAGAATTTTATGTACTTACACATGTATGTATATATATATATATATAACTAAACGCATATTTCATATAACCTCAGAATATCTCTCCTTGCATTAAGTGAAAAATTTAATTAACAAACAGTTGAAATATGTCTAAAAGAACTAAATTAACATCCTCAATAATTAAATTTTCAGTTTATTTTTTTTTATTTTAAGCCTTAAAATTATGTGGTATATGAAACCGATGCTGATTTCGCAGACGATGCATCCAACAGAAAATCACCCCTTAAATTAGACAAATAGAAAAGAGTGAAAGAAATAGCTTGTCTTATGTTGAAAATCCAAAACATCGTGCATATTATGAAACTATAACATTTGTATCCAGCCTCAGCATTATTTGTGTTTCATTTGTGTCTCTTTCAACGACACATACCGTCATGTCAGTCAGCCCCTTTAACGTTTTGGCCAATTATCAAAATATTATATCAACTTTGGTTCACCGCTGTATTTAGGTGGGGAGGACTATTCTCTAGCCTTAGTATATATCTTTTGTTTTATTACCTTTGTTCTTTCTACTTTGAATTCGCCTGTGTTTTGTTGTTTAGCTTCTTTTACTATTTGTCCTTTATTTTACTTCCACGTTCTCTCTGTCTGATTTGCCAGTTTATTTATCTATTCTTCATTTGCTTATTAAGGAAAACCTCCTTTTTTTTCTCTACCTTTAAAACTAACACTACCACCATCATTCGTCCCATCCACTCCCATTTTAACCGCTCTCATTTGTTTTTTTACTTGCATTCATACCCCATCGCTGTATTTCTTTTTTCATTTTCATTTTATATACTCTTTTATATGGTGTAATATTTTTCATCAATCAGTGGTGTACTTTTGTCTTTTCAATTACTTTCTTTCCCTACCATGTATTGCTAGTTCTTGCTTTCTACATATTATTCATTTTTCTATAATTTTAGATCAATTTTCAATTGATATTTTCCTAATGTTTATTTCGTCCGTTTTTCTGTCTCCTTGCATTCTTCTTTCTTTGACGCTTTATTCATTCATTTTCGTGATACACAATATTTCAGTCATGCTTCCATCTATCTCCTTATCAATTCTCGATATCCAATCCATTTGTATATCTCCTCTTACTGACAGACACATTAACTTTCTCCCTAAATATATATATATATATATATATATATACATACACACACACACACCAGCCAGTTATTTTTCTATCGATTCATTACTTCTCGTGGCGTGTTTGTCTCTCGCTCTCATATATATATATATATATATATATATATATATATATATATATACACATACATGCATACATACATTCCTTAGGTCACTCGATCTGTGTATAAACATATACTCCTCAACACTCACGTTCTCTCTCTCTCTCGATATATATACTCCTTAATGCTGGCGCTCACTGCATGCAAATATACTCCTTAGATTTCGCACCCCATCTCTATCTCTATCTGTGTGTGTGTATATATATATATATATATATATATATATATACGCACTCCCGCGTGTTCTCTGTTACGCTTTCTGTATTCTTATATATATATATATATATATATATATATATATATATATATATATATATACACACACACACACACATTAGGTCTCTCTACACACACCCACTAGTTGTCTCACTACACACAAACAGACATATCAATTAGCATACTCTCACTACAGACATACACACACACACTTCTTAGCGCTTTCGTTCTCTCTGTACGCCTTAGACGCTCTCACGCGCCTCATATATGCTCCTTGTACATTTCTATTACTTTTCTCTCCGTATGTCTACAACTTTACATGGTTAACTTAGATATTAAAGTATTTATTATATTCTCTTATTTTCACCCGATTTCTATTTGTTTCATCTTCTTCACTCTCATTTCTCTTCTTCTCTTCTTTCTTTCCTCCATTCGACATTTTCTATCATTTCCGTCTCACATCTCTTCCCGTGACTTCTTAGTTTCCTTTTCCTTTCTGTTGTTCATTTTCCATTCAAGAATGCCCCCTTCACAGTGCTGTGCACTTCGTCATTTAAAATGTCTTCAGCAAAAGAAAACTGATCATCAGTCTCTCCATTAACGGATGTTTATACCTCGATTTTTATTTCCAATTATAATGGTCAAATTCATCCACTCTACACCAGCATAGTATTAAACTTTAATAATATATTAAAAAAAATGACAAAATATTTTACCGTATTAATCAATTCGGTTATCAATATAAAGTTACAGGATTTTATAAATGTTTATTTTTCTATAGTTACATAATTGATCCAATATAGTTTCAGTGCTTCATATTTCATGTATTCATTTCTCTTCAGAACACAATTATATTTTGCAATCCTAAATTTAATTTCAAGCAAATTCCTTGTACTAGTTCGAAGTATCGTTTTATTAAGGAATTAATTTAATTTTATCAATAATTTGCTTTTTAACCAATTCACCCCAAACCAGGCGATAATGCCACTAACACACAAGGGTCCTACTGGGTCAGAAAGTGTATGTCGAGAATTTATAAGGAATCGGAAACACAATCCTAATTAGGAAACAACTGATAGACCTCTACTCTTTACAAAAGACAGGGGAGGAATCTGAACCGGGCGATTTGGGGCTGTATATGCTTGAAATGAGATTTTTTGCCTACAATTAACCCCGCCAAACAATGCCCTTAGTAAGAAATTACAAACTACTGCGGCCATCAACCGTCTCCTCTCCGTATTTAGGCATGCATCTATCTTATATGTATGTATAAATTTAGTCTTACACTTCCGAAGAAAGTAGTGTTTTGTGTATTTACCCATAATTTATCACTATGAAAAGTAAAATCAAAATTCATTGTTTATTATAACGCCCATTTCTATTCAAACACCTGACCATGATCGAAAATATTTAAAGTATTTACATTGTTGTTTCATATCAACACGCAATATTATATACCCAAATACACACATACTACTGCCTGCTTAACTGAAAAGCATACTTAGCGCACTGGTCCGGTAGATGTTACTACTGTCATGAATATTACCCTAGATGAATACTCCCAATTTGTCGATTAATGTGTTATGATAATAAATCTATCAAAAATCACTACATGCTTGTTGGTATTCTGTGTTTTTACGCTTACATTTCTCACTTTAATATTCCAGTTTGTTTCTCTAAAATGAACTGTCTCTTTCTATGTAAATATTTAATCGGCGCGACTGTCTGATTATCTTTCTGTCTGTTGCTTCTGTTTCTCAAACCTCAACTCAGCAGACGTCATTTTACGTTTCCATTTATTTTTTAAGTTTTTTTTTTTTTTGGTCTCTGTCCGCTTCGGTATTTCTTCTATGCTATTACTCTTTTACACTCATGTGATCAGTTTTCTTTACATCTCTGCAATTTATTATTATCCCTTGCCAATGTTCTCATATGGTTCAATAATCGACCAACCGATGTCGATTATCGCCTTCGGCCTTTTTCTCTCGCATTGTTTCATTTATCGTGCAGCCCACATTTACCGGAGAAATATTAGAAACTGGCCGTTAGATCAGGAACCTGTGGACTTGTAAATTTTTATAATAAAATTATATATTTATTGTTTGTGAGATGTAGTCTCTCTCTCTCTCTCTCTCTATATATATATATATATATATATATATATATATATATATATATATATATATATATATATATATATGTACACACACACACGTATATATACACACATATATACATGTATACACACATATATATATATATATATATATATATATATATATATATTCTTATTTACCCGATTTTTTTTTTTTCCCTTTGGTCTAGAAATTACAGCATGGACGATTTTTTCGGCTTGCTGGGATGTTTTAAACCTTTCTTTTTTTTCCAACTTTTGTTCCCAGATATCTATTTTTTTACACCAAACGAGTATATTCATTAACATACATATATATATATATATATATATATATATATATATATATATATATATATATATACTCACACACAAAATATGTGCATATATATAATAATCAGCAAGTAACCCTCGCGAAGCTCGTAAGTTCGTTCATATTCTTGGCAATGTAAAAGACTAAAACAAGTTTAACAAATAACTTGTATACAAATAAATAGTGTATTTTTTGTTATCATTCTACATGAAATCTCATTTTTAATATACATAATTTTTTTCTCTGATATTTTCGCAGTTCATATCTCATTGTTTTCCTCTCTGTCTATCACTCCTCCTTTTTCTTTTCATTTCCCAGTTTTCGCGATATCCGTCCCTCTTCTTGCAACACTATCTACATTGTACCTCTCTCCTATATTTTTGTCGTATAATACAAAATATCTTTCTTTTCATTTCGTCACCTTTTTGACCCACACCGGCGTGCTCTACCAATAACTGAGCTTTTATTTAATTTTTTTTTCTCTATACTTTTTTTCCACATCTGTTTGATTCCGTCTCTTTCACTCTCATAACTCTGATTTTCTCTAAATGTTATGTTTTTAATAAAACAAAACATTCGACACCACACCCAACAGGTCCTGTTTTAGAGTAGCTAAAGTTTTGATGCTAAAATCTATTTGTGCCTTCGTCTTTTTCTCTCACACATTTTTTTTTTTTGCAGTAAGGCTCACCCTATACAAAGTCCGGGAGTTGCTCGAGAGAATTACCTTAAGTGGTAGTTTATATAGATAGGAAGGGAAAACATGTTAACTTGAACTGGTTAAGATTATTGGGATCGGGGAAATGTCTTGTCTGTCTTTTACACATGGCAGGGGTTCGCTGAAAAAAAGTACATATTTATTGTGTGTGTGGAATGTTAAATTTATCTGAATATCTATTAAAAAAAAAATTATTCATGATTGTCATTTTTTAAATTTCTTTATATCTACTTATTCATTCTGTTTGCATGAATTTGACTCTGTCTATATCTATATGTCTTTTTTCTACTTATAAAACACGGGGCTTTGTAAGTTTTTAAATAATTTTCCTCCGTTTTCATCTTCGTTTACTTTTCTTTACACTATTTTCATTGATACCTCGCTTCCTGCAATTTTCTTTTCAAATCGCCTGTGTCCACTTCCCGCAATCGCTCCCTGATTAGCCTTCCACATTTAAGCACGCAACTATTCAATCATATATTTACCTAACAGACACGCCAAACCGATATCTCGCCTTGCCTCTTTGCAGACTCTCTGTCAGGCTCACTGCATATAACTACCCCAACAGCAGCTTATAAGACTTTAAGACTTAGTTCACCATATCTTCTTCGTTATTCGAATTTTTTCCGCCTCATCAGTCGGTCAGTTTGACTGTCTCATCGTCTGCCCGTATTTTTGTAACTGCGTGCATTTGTTTGTATGAGAGCATGCGTGTGAATGTGCGTGAATATAGGCGTGCCGTGTGTGTGTGGTGGGGGGGAGAGAAAGGGAGTGATACCAGTGCGACTCCGTCGCTTGCAGCCAAGGTGGCACGCGCCTTGGCTCCTCACTTACTTCGATCAAATTCTATTCTTCTTTCTATCATTTTATCCCAGCCTGGAAAAACTACTACTCTTCTCCGCATAGCTACTGGTGTTGCTTTTGCAGGAGTTATTACTGCTACCACCTCTCTCTCTTTCTCTCTCACACACACACACACACACACACAAACTTATTCTGATCGCAGTTGTTGTTATTTTTTTTTTTTTTTTTTTTATTTCTGGAGATTATTGCTTATTTTGTTTCGGAATAAAGAGTATAACAAACCAGCAATGTGTTGTGTATTTGTATCGAAATGTATCATATTTGCTCTATATACCAGTCGAAGTTCATTTAGAACTCGCTATTTCAATTGTCCTGATTTACCTAAAGATTTATATGCAGTTCTCATCTGGATTTTGCTTATTTCTCACAATATTTAACATTTTTATTATATTAAAAATATTTCTTTCTTTTTTCTATATCTTTTTCCTACTCATTTGCATTTTCCTCAGTTTTCATCTTGCCCGTTTCTTTTATTTTTTTCTCTTGCCCGTTTCTTTTATTTTTTCTCTTGCCCGTTTTTTTCTCTTGCCCGTTCCTCTTTCTTTTACCTTTTTTTTTTTTTTTGCCCGTTCCTCTTTTCTTTTCGTTTACGCGTTCCTCTTTTCTTTTCTTTTCTTTCGTTTACGCGTTCCTTTCTCCTTTTCTTTCTTTTGCCCCTTCATCCTCTTCTTGTTTTCTTTTTTCCGTTCATCCTCTTTTTTTTTCTTTTTCCCGTTCATCCTCTTTTTTTTTCTTTTTCCCGTTCATCCTCTTTTTTTTTCTTTTTCCCGTTCATCCTTTTTTTTCTTTTTCCCGTTCATCCTCTTTTTTTTTTTTTCCTGTTCATCCTTTTTTTCCTGTTCATCCTTTTTTTTTTTTTTTTTTCCCGTTCATCTTTTTTTTTTTTTTTTCCCCTTCATTTTTTTTCTTTTTCCCCTTCATCCTCTTTTTTTTTCTTTTTCCCCTTCATCCTCTTTTTTTTCTTTTTCCCCTTCATCCTCTTTTTTTTTTCTTTTTCCCGTTCATCCTTTTCTTTTTTTTTCCTTTTTCCCGTTCATCCTTTTTTTTTTTTTTCCTTTTTCCCGTTCATCCTTTTCTTTTTTTTTCCTTTTTCCCGTTCATCCTTTTCTTTTTTTTCCTTTTTCCCGTTCATCCTTTTCTTTTTTTTCCTTTTTCCCGTTCATCCTTTTTTTTTTTCCTTTTTCCCGTTCATCCTTTTCTTTTTTTTCCTTTTTCCTGTTCATCCTTTTTTTTTTTTTCTTTTTGCCTGTTCATCCTTTTCTTTTTTTCTTTTTCCTGTTCATCCTTTTTTTTTCTTTTTCCCGTTCATCCTTTTCTTTTTTTCTTTTTCCCGTTCATCCTTTTCTTTTTTTCTTTTTCCCGTTCATCCTTTTCTTTTTTTCTTTTGCCCGTTCATCCTTTTCTTTTCTTTTCCTTTTGCCCGTTCATCCTTTTCATTTTTTTTTCCTTTTGCCCGTTCATCCTTTTCATTTTTTTTTTTTTTTGCCCGTTCATCCTTTTCTTTTTTTCTTTTGCCCGTTCATCCTTTTTTTTTTTTTCTTTTGCCCGTTCATCCTTTTCATTTTTTTTTTTTTTGCCCGTTTCTCTTCTTCCTTTTTCTTTTGCCCGTTTCTCTTTTTTTTTTTTCTTTTGCCCGTTTCTTTTCTTTTTTTTTCTTTTGCCCGTTTCTCTTCTTTTTTTTTCTTTTGCCCGTTCATCCTTTTCATTTTTTTTTCTTTTGCCCGTTTCTCTTCTTTTTTTTCTTTTGACCGTTCATCCTTTTTTTTTTCTTTTGACCGTTCCTCCTCCTCTTTTTATTCTTTTGACCGTTCCTTCTCTACTTATTTTTTTTTTTTTTGCCCGTTCCTCTTTTTTCTTTTTTTTCTTTTTTTTTTTGCCTCTTGTTTTTTTCTTTTTTAGGCGTTCCTCTTTTATTTTTTATTTTGCCCGTTCCTCTTTTTTTTCTTCTTTTTTTCCGTTCCTCCTTTTCCCTTGTTTTATTCTCTTCAGCCCGTTTCGTCTTCCCGTACTTGTTCTACATTTTTTTTTTTTTTGTTCCGTTTTTTTTTTTTTTTTTTTTTTTTTCCCATTTTACCGTTTCTTTGTTTTCTTTTTTTTGCACGTCCCACTTTTTTTTTATTTTGCACGTTTTTTTTTTTTTTTCTTTTCCACTTTTCCTGTTTTTTTCTCTCTTTTGCGTTCTTCCTTTTTTTTCTCTCTTTTTGCGTTCCTCTTTTTTTTTTTTTCTCTTTTTTCCCGTTCCTTTCTTTTTTTCTCCTTTTTGCACGTTCCTCTTTTTTCTCTTTTTTTTCTTGCACGTTCCTCTTTTTTTCTCTTTTGCACGTCCCTCTCTTTTTTCTCTCTTTTGCACGTCCCTCTCTTTTTTTCTCTCTTTTGCACGTTCCTCTTTTTTTTTTTCTCTCTTTTGCACGTTCCTTTTTTTTCTCTTTTGCACGTTCCTCTCTTTTTTTTTCTCTTTGCACGTTCCTTTTTTTCTCTTTTGCACGTTCCTTTTTTTTTCTCTTTTGCACGTTCCTTTTTTTCTCTCTTTTGCACGTTCCTCTTTTTTTTTCTCTTTTGCGTTCCTCTCTTTTTTTTTCTCTCTTTTGCACGTTCCTCTCTTTTTTTCTCTCTTTTTGCACGTTCCTCTTTTTTTTCTCTCTCTTTTTTGCACGTTCTCTCTTTTTTTTCTCTCTTTGCACGTTCCTCTCTTTTTTTTCTCTCTTTGCACGTTCCCTCTTTTTTTTTCTCTCTTTTGCACGTTCCTCTCTTTTTTTTTCTCTCTTTGCACGTTCCTTTTTTTTTTCTCTCTCTTTTGCACTTTGTTCTCTTTTTTTTCTCTCTTTTGCACGTTCCTTTTTTCTCTTTTTTTCTCTCTTTTACGTCTTTTCTCTCTTTTTTTCTCTCTTTTTGCACGTTCCTCTTTTTTTTTTCTCTTTTGCACGTTCCTCTCTTTTTTTTCTCTCTTTGCACGTTCCTCTTTTTTTTTTCTCTCTCTTTTGCACGTTCCTCTCTTTTTTCTCTCTTTTGCACGTTCCTCTCTTTTTTTCTCTCTCTTTTGCACGTTCCTCTTTTTTTTTCTCTCTTTTGCACGTTCTCTTTTTTTTCTCTCTCTTTTGCACGTTCCTCTTTTTTTTCTCTCTCTTTTGCACGTTCCTCTCTTTTTTTTTCTCTCTTTTGCACGTTCCTTTTTTTTTTTCTCTCTTTTGCACGTTCCTCTCTTTTTTTTTCTCTCTTTTGCACGTTCCTCTCTTTTTTTTCTCTCTCTTTTGCACGTTCCTCTCTTTTTTTTCTCTTTGCACGTCCCTCTCTTTTTTTCTCTCTCTTTTGCGTTCTCTCTTTTTTTTTTCTTTTTGCACGTTCCTCTCTTTTTTTCTCTTTTGCACGTTCCTTTTTTTTTTTTTTCTCTCTTTTGCACGTTCCTCTTTTTTTTCTCTTTTGCACGTTCCTCTCTTTTTTTTCTCTCTTTTGCACGTTCCTCTCTTTTTTTCTCTTTTGCACGTTCCTCTCTTTTTTTTCTCTCTCTTTTGCACGTTCCTCTCTTTTTTTCTCTCTCTTTTGCACGTTCCTCTCTTTTTTTTCTCTCTCTTTTGCAACCATTTTTATATCTTTTCTCATATCATTCCTTTCTCTTCCCTATATGTTGTAGCTGTTGTATGCCTTCATATATTTCTCGCACCCTCCTCTATATCCTATCTCTGATGCTGATATTGGGGATTAAGGAATGCTCGTCGAAAATATTTGGTCACTCGGTCATACATATCTTATGATTGTTTTACTTTCCTATTTACTTTGCTCAGTATATTTTATCTAATTTATGAAAAATATTCTTTCAAGATTTGCCGCTTTTCGGCTTTTATATTCAGTTATACATTTTTTATATTCATTGCTTTTGTACTGCATACTTTCTTTCTTTCTGCATCCATTGTTGAATTATTTTGTTACAATCGGTCACTGATATTTTTTATATTTGGAAATTCACCCCACTTACATACAAATATTCACATCACTTACAGCAAAACTTTTGCTTATGTATTTTAATATTTCGTTCATATTGGCCACATACTATAATCCACTTAAAGTTAAATATTAAAAATAGTAGGGAATGTTTTTGTTCTGTCTTAATAAATTAAAAAATTCTACAGATGTCGCAAGATAGCATACAACAGAACAAGTCGAATGTTTAACTTACATGAATATATACTTCTTAAAACAGTTAAAAATGTTTTTAAATCTGCCTTGGAGAAAGAAATATTGGTACATGGCCTCACAAATTGAGCACAGAAGGCAGAGAAAGCAGTATGGTCAAAGTTCATTACAATCATTACTCAAACGAGAAAAATCCCCGTGCATAAAAGTGTTCTTCGAATTTTCGCTTATTAGCTTCAAAATCCAAGACAATTTTATGATCTCTGAGCCTGACAATTCATATAAAATTGTGAAATGATGATTTATATGTCGATAATGCCTATTTAGCAGAGGTCATATTGCGCCACGTCACTTTCATATATATATATAATGCTTGTAGCCGCATGAATTTGGAGAAATAAATTAATGTATAATTAAAATATAAAATTATGTATATCAAGAGACACACACACACACACATATACATATATATATATATATATATATATATAACAATAAAGTAATTCTACAATTACTTATAGTAAAAAAGCAGAATAATAAACACGAAAGAAACTTTTTTTTTTATTAACCAGAATTATTTTCATAATAAAAGTCTGGACTGTTTATTTATTGGTTTGTCCTACATGTTATTATAAGTAACTATACATTGACTTTATTATCACTCTCTCTCATATATATATATATATATATATATATATATATATATATATATATATATATATACACACACACAGATTTAAATATGCATAAATATATATGAGATATTCTCAGGGTGTTTGTGTGTCTATATATACATATATATAATTTCATACTAACGCAAAGACGATGAAAAATAAAATAAAGATAACTCCAGAAATCAAAGGGAGAGTGAAAGTGGCCAGTGATGGTCATGCTCCTGTGACACGTAATCATAATATATATATATATATATAATCACAAATGTCAATAAACACATCATTAAAAATAGAAACATCATCTTCAACATGCCCACAAACAGAACCCAAAGACCCAGGACATTAGGCGTGTGTGAGAGGGAGTATAAGCTTGTCTGACGACGTGGGCAGTAGATCTGAAAAGTGTCAAAAACACCTCCAACCCGCACCTTGTTGAGAGGAACATTACACATAAAAAGCCTCGGTCTCGACACCGAAATTTTTACTAAAATTGTGTATGTGTGTATGCCCGAGTGCATGGATGTGTATCTGCGCCTGTCCTCGAATTGTTTATATGTGTGCGTTTGAGTGAATTAAACTACAAACACCTGTATGAATGCGTGTCGATGTGTATGAGGATGTCACCTTAAACAAACAAAGAAGTAGATTCTTCCTCTCACCAGCAAACATAGTTAAACTAGCGTAAATGGATTCAATTTTCAAAAAATAAGTTTTTTGATGATCGCAAAAGCATTAAAAACATGGGCATAAATTCATATCTCTACAACTGAATATGTTAACTCTATCACTGATGTTGAGCGCTTTTAGTGTGTGTGTGTGTGTGTGTATGTATGACAGAGAGAGAGACATATGGATATACATAAGACAATAGGCAAAGAGATATATATATATATATGAGAGACTATATGTATATAACTATATATGAGAAAGCTTGAAGGATTTTTAATATGAGACTGTATGCATAGTTAATTGAGACAATATGAATGTGTTTATTTACACACACACACACACACACACACACACACACACGTGTGTGTGTGTGTGTGTTAACATTGAATTCAAAAGTCAGAGGTGTCACTGTTTCACGCTAAACACAATCGTCAGGCCACCACACACACACACACACATATATATATATATATATATATGTGCGATGGTAAATTGTGATCTAAATGACGCAAAACATCAGCAATGTGTTGTGTATTTGTATGAAATGTATCATATTTGCTCTATATACCAGTCGAAGTTCATTTAGAACTCGCTATTTCAATTGTCCTGATTTACCTAAAGATTTATATGCAGTTCTTATACACACATTCTTAACAAAATTACGGAAAAATTTCCTAGCGTTTTAAAGAGTTAATTTAGTTTATAATATCGCTATTAGCTTTAACCACGCTTTCCAGACAACTTCGGAATCCCTTAATTTTTTTTTGTAGCTGCTCTCCTTCTTTAAGTTGGTGAATGTTGCCAAAAGCCGTGCCTTCTGTCCGTCTTTGCTATTACAATGAATATTGTTGGTCGCCGCTCAACTGCCTCACCCACACAATAATCGATGTATTGCAGTCTGGGGAGTTAGGTGGATAGATGTAAAGGGTTCTGTGATCTCAGAAATTATGTGACAGTCATGAGTGTATTCTCATGCTTTCTTGGCATGGTGCAGAGTCCGGTCGCCAATCATGTTCTTCCAGCAGCCACCCTCTTGACCAAGGCACTAACTCTTCAAGGCAGTTGTTCTACGCTTCACGCTTGAATCTGAAGCCCTGACTTCAGATGAAAGGAGGCATAACTTCGCCCTCACTTATGACCTATCCACACACCTTCGTAATCACCATTAGACTAATCATAATTTTTTTTCTTATCCTCTGCACTGTATTAAGATGGACACTCAGAAATATTCCTATGAAAAATTCTAGCGCAAATGGCAAGCAGTACATGAAGCCGTTTCAAAATTCCTGGTGTTGTGAATTGTGCGATAGTGCTCTATTTATCACTGAACCGTTTTAGTCGATAAAATTAATAGAAAGTTCAACACTCATGGGTCAAATTCAAAATATAATATCGCGACAATTTAACTATCGCGCATTGTATACATATGGGAGAGACTTTGAGTGAGTCTCTGTCTTTGTGTGTGTATGTATGTATATATATATAATATATATATATATATATATATATATATATATATAATATATACACTCAAACTCTGTATCCATGTCTGTCTATCTATCTATAATCTTGGACATACCATATTCTGTTTTGTTATCATAAATTTAATTCCAAATATTCACTCAATGGTACACTGATATATTGCATTGACAATGCCCGACAATTAATGTTAATTGTTTTTTTCATCAAGTGTGATTTATTTTCCTACATTAAAATGTCATCTGTTTCAATCTAAATTTCGATATGCCTACAATAGCACACGCACACGCGCGCACACACACACACGCGCACACACACACACATATCTATATATGCGTGTGTGGTGTGTGTTCTCTGGCAGGTTTCATATGATTTCAAGTTTGATCAAGGGCATTAAAACAAATATATCCTGCATATCTTGAATTATTTAATTTTAATACCTTCTATCTTTTAATTAGTAAATTGATTGCTAAGTAATAAATTTCAATTATTAATTTCTCTTGATATGTCCCATACCACGAAATTTATTTTTTTATTATTTCTATCAATTACTAAATATTAGTCTGTGATGATTTTATTAAATATCCATTACATTATAATGACTATAACAAAATCCCCGTGATAATCTGTGATTATGTTCATTCATGATGGCGGTGATGCGTACGTACTTCTGTCCCTGGTTTAAAAAATAAGTCAGAGTAATACGATTTCTGTATTTTTTTTATTATAATAAAGTAACCTTGAGTGAAACTGGCGTCAATTGCAAGGAAAATAATTAAAATTGTAATTTTTATATTTGTAATATTTTCCACATATATTTTTGCAAATCTGCCAATTATGTAACTAAAAACTATATATTCTGTTATTCAGTAATTCTGAAACATTTTATATTGTTTTCATATCTTTAAATACCTATTAAGGAATATATAAGTACATGCATATTTCCATCTACCCCCAACTCAGTTCGTACATAAACACACATTTGGAAATCAAAATATTAGAAGAAAGTATAAACTTTTTGGATTTAAACGTTCATAAAATCTACAGTTCTTGATGCAATAAAAATTACTGCATATATTTATTTTAATTCTTCACTTAAACTATATCTTAGATATAACCGTGCTCGAAGAATAGATATTTTGTTTGATGTACAGCTTTTGCCGTATAACCATTTATATATATATATATATATATATATATATATACACCTTAAACACAAGGGCAGAGTTCTAACCATAATTATAATTTATCGTAAGATTTTCTAACGTAAAGTAACTATGTATTATTTTTTGCACATTATGAGCATAATTTTATATTTTCTAATCATTGATATATATATATATATATATATATATATATGGGGAAATTCAAAGAAATAAGAAAAGTAAAAAATTGTGATAAATTATTTGCGATAATCATGATATGTGAAATGGGCGGGGAAGAATTTCCGTACGTCCCGTGATATCGCCTTCTTTCTTTGGAAAGTTTCCACCTGAAATTTATCCCCCTATCGAAAACTACAAGTCAAAAGTACCTAAATATAAACATTTCCTATTTAAGTATATCATATAGGAAGTGTGCAAATTTGTTCACAAAAGCTAATTTCCATATCTTTCTTTCTGTCTCCCCACCGCACACACAAACATGTACGTATATGTGTTTGTGTATTTAAATGAAT